CAAGTCCCAACTAATACAAAGAGCAGTTAACACCTGCAGGAAGGGAGTTGTAAGTGACAACATAAAAATCTGAAACCAGCTGAGTTTGGGTATCATGGTTTCTGGAAAGTTATTTTTAGTGGTATGTAAGAAAGCTGTTGCTTTTTAGGTTTTGTATATAGCTACTCGACTCTTGCTGATGGCTTTTCAGCTGAATTTATTGAAGTTTCCTAGACCAACAATAAGATTATCAGAAAACAATTATGTTTTACCTTTTTCCTTTCCTGTGTGTGTGTGTGTGTGTGTGTGTGTGTGTGTGTGTAATTTATTTTTCTTGTTTTACCTGGCTGGCTAGAACCTCCAGAACACTGTTATATAATAGCAGTGATATTCAGCATGCTCATCCTAATTCTGACTTTATAAAAAAGATTCTAATGTTTTCATCTGGGGTATAATGTTTAGAGTTCTTGTCTATAAAGTACTCTTCATCATAGTAAGAGGATTATTTTTTCCAATCTCAATTTAATTTGAATTTAAAAAAAAATTTTTTTAATCTTTATTGTTGAATGTAAAATGTATTACAGATGTTCCACATATTTCCCCCATTGACCCCCTCCTCCCCACTCCCGCCCCCCTCCCACCTTTTCCCACACTATTGTCTGTGTCCATTGGTTATGCATATAAGTTCTTTGGTTTATTTCTTCCCACCCACCCCCAACCCCTTTCCCTTTGAGGTTTGTCAGTCTAGCAGTGAATTTGTACTTCTTAATCTCTTCACCTTTTTCACCCAGTCCCCCAAACCCCCTCCCAACTGGCAACCAACAAAATGTTCTCTGTATCTATGAGAATGTTTCTGTTCTACCTGTTCATTTTGTTCTAGATTCCATTGTCGATAGATAGGTATTCATTGCCATTTTGTTTGTTCATATATTTTATCTTTTTCTTCAAAAAGACCCTTCATCATTTCATATAATAACGGTTTGGTGGTGATGAACTCCTTTAGCTTTTTCTTGTCTGGGAAAGTCTTTATATGGCCATCGATTCTAAATGACAGCTTTGCAGGATAGAGTAATCTTGGTTGTAGGTTCTTGCTTTTCACCACTCTGAATATTTCTTGCCACTCCCTTCTGGCCTGCAAAGTTTCTTTTGAGAAATCAGTTGACAGCCTAATGGGAACTCCCTTGTAGGTAACTAGCTGCCTTTCTCTTGCTGCTTTTAAGATTCTCTCTTTGTCTTGAATCTTTTGCATTTTGATGATGATGTGTCTTGGTGTGGGCCTCTTGGGGTTCATCTTGTTTGGGACTCTCTGTGCTTCCTGGACTTGTATGTCTGTTTCCTTCACCAAGTTAGGAAAGTTTTCTGCCATTATTGTTTCAAACAGGTTTTCGATTTCTTGTTCTCGCTCTTCTCCTTCTGGCACCCCCAAGATGCGAATGTTGGCACGCTTGAAGTTGTCCCAGAGGCTCCTTACCCTACCCTCATTTTTTTGGATTTCTTTTCTTTTTGCTGTTCTGATTGGGCATTTTTTGCTTCCTTATATTCCAAATCAATGGTTTGCTTCTTGGATTTATGTACTCTACTATTGAAGCTGTGTAAATTATTCTTTATTTCAGTTAATGCCTCCTTCAATTCTGACTGTGCATCCATGATTTCTGACTGGTCCTTTTTTATGCTCTTGAGGCCCTCCCTAAGTTCACTGAGGCCCTCACTAAGTTCACTGAGCATCCTTATAAGCAGTATTTTGAACTCAGCATCTGTTATCTCCATGTTGCTTAGTTCTTTTCTTGGGGTTTTGTTCTGTTCTTTCATTTGGGACCTGTTTCTTTGTCTCCTCATTTTGGCTGCCTCCCTGTGTTTGTTTCTGTGTATTACTTAACGATAGGTATGGGGCTGAGACCAGATGCTGCTCGTTTGAAAGAATTTAGGAAAAACCTGAAGCAGGATCCAAGACCGGCCAATCCTATGGTTAAGCAAGTGGCAACAGCTTGGGTGGGCCTGAAAGTTGGGTGGGGCAGGGTGGGGCGGGGCGGGGCCTCAGGGAGTCAGCAGGGCGGGGCTACCAGTGTGAGCCAGGTTGCTGGAGTCCCAGATATGGCGGCTGTCTGCCGCCCCCGGGAAGGGCTCACCAAAGGAACATAGGCCTCTGACAGCACGTTTGTCCCGGAGAAAGCCCCCTCTCCAGCCCTCGCTCCAGAGCCAAACAGCTCAGTTCTTCCCTGTATGTCTGTGGTGCCCCTCGAGCTGCCTCCCCTCCGAGCTTAGAGGGAGAGAGTCCGATAAGTCCGTGCGCGGGCCCTTTAGGGAGCTGCCTGGGGCTCCAGTCACCAGCTTCCCTGAGCCTCAGTTCCTACTGGTTTTTCCAGCCAGAAGTTATGGGGATTCTCTTCCTGGCCCTGGAACCCTGAGCAGGGCACCTGGTGTGGGACGGGGACCCCCTCAGTCCTCAGGAAGGACCTTCCCAGCCGAGGTGTCCTCCTGATTTTTATCCACCACACATAGGTGTGGGACCAGCCCTTCTCGCCACAGGCCCTCCGGCCCTCCGCCCCTCCTACCAGTCTGGATGTGGCTGCTGCTTTAATTCCGTAGTTGTAGGACTTCCATTCACAATGATTTCAGGCGGTTTTGAATGATGGTTGTTCTGTAGTTTAGTTGTAACTTTGATGTGGTTGTGGGAGGACGCGATACCGCGTTTACCTACGCCGTCATCTTGACTGGGAAGTCTAATTTGAATTTTTAAAAAATTGAAATGGAGGTCACATTTTTTTAAATACTTTAAAAAATATTTATCAAATTCATATTGTTTTTCCTTAATATATGAATAAATCGATTATATTAAAGTATTTATTGAGCTTGACTCATTTTGTCACTCTGCAGTAATCCCTACTTGTCTTAATTTGGTATTTCCTGCAGTCCCAAGTGTGATTGGTACCGTTGTGCGTGATACCATGTTAACTGGTACATGTTCATGTCGGAGCCATGTCCCTGCTTTACAAGGTTTCATGTGCACACATTTTCTTTAACATGCTACTGTGCAAAATGAAAATTGCCTTTATTTACTCAAGGGAATTTACAGTTGTAGTCACATACTTGTGTGTTATTGTTTTTATGTTTATTTGTTTGTAGAGTATCAGATTTGGGTTAGAGAAAATGAAAACCCTTTCCTTTTCCTATGTTTCAAAATGGTTTAAATACAAAAGAACAGCTGGATGGACTCCACAAACCATCTCTTTAGGTGCGACATGCATTATTATTATTATTTTTTAATCCTCACCCAAGGGTATTTTTTCATTTATTTTCAGATAGAGTGGGAGGAGAGAGAGAGAAACTTCCATGCTAGAGAGACACATCAATTGGTTGCCTCCCGCACTACCCCGACCAGGGCCGGGGACTGAACCACACACAACCCAGACATGTGCCCCGGACCGGAATTGAACCTGTGACTCTTCGGTCCACAGGCCAACGCTTCAGTGCTGAGCCAAACCAGCCAGGGCACAGCATGCATCTTTGATGGTCACTTTACTCTCTTCTTTTGTTTGAGGCCCTTCAGATCTTTTACCTCTTATTGAATCAACTTTGGTAATTTATATTTTGCTAGAAAATCATTCTGGTTGTCTAGATTTTCAATTAACGTGCATAAAGTATATGGTATTCTTTCATATTTTTTATTCATTTTCTGTAGTTACAGTCTTTCTCATCTAATATTGTTTATAAATGTATTTCCTTTTTCTCTTCTTTCTCTCTTTCTTTCTGACCTCCCAGAGTTTGTCAACTTTAGGTCTTTTCAAAGATGACAAATTTTTATTTTTATCCCTGCCAATTTATGTATTTTTTAGTTCAGTAATTTGTTTCATTTTTATTGATTCACTCTACTATTTTTTTAATTTGGCTTACTTTTTCTAGTTTTTTGAGTTGAATAATGTTTATTTATCTTCAATAAGGTTTTCTAACAGTCATCCAAGAATACAATGTCATTGGAATGTTAAGTAGAACATCTCATACATTTTGATATGTAATGTTTTCCGTTTGGTTTTCCATTTTAAATTTATAATTTAGTTTTTATTTTCTCTCTGACCCAACAGCCATTAGAAGAATAAATGTTACAGTTTCTCCTTTTAAAACATCTTTTATTAAGACTCTTTTGTCCTGGATTGTATATTCAACCTGAACTGACTTTGAGCAAGGTCTGGTTTTCTCTTGATCACTTCCTCTTAAAAATAAAGCTTCCTTCTCCTCCTACCATCCCCAAATAAAGAACTTTCTCCAATTTTCAGTATAGTCATTATGTTCTTCTTACCTGTTGAACAAATATTGATATCTAAACCTGTGGAACATTAAACCAGAGACATTTCCAGACCTAGCCAGATAAATTCAAGTGAAAATCCAGGGGTCATCAGCCTGCTCTGCCAGCTGGACAGGGCAGTCACCCTCCCAGCACCCCTGGGTGGGGCCAGCAGTACCCACCATTATGTGCAGATATCAAGGGAATTAGTGTTGGAATGATTTAGAGTTTGATAAGTTTTGTTCAGGAATTCCTCAGAGAGGACGGTTGAATTTTACTGAAGGGGAGGGAAGGAAAGGATTTGCTAGAAAAGAGAAGAAAGGGCTTTCCAGAGAGGAATAGTGAACGTTGTAAAGGCCAATAATAATAACATTATTACATATGTGTATGTATATATATTTACGTGTGTGTGTGTTCGTTACTGTTTACAGACCCTTTCACATCCACTACTTTATTTAAGCATGATAGTTCACCTTTGAGAAGGTGATGATTATCAAGTCCAATTTTACAGCTTGGAACACTGAGGTTTAAAGAGAGTAAGTGGAGCCAAGTATGGAACCTAGATCTTCCAGCTTGAAGTTCACTGTTCTTTCCACTCTGTCATGCTAAGCAGTCAACCCTCTAGAGGCCACAAAATGTATTGTCTGCAATACCGCCCCTGGTGAGGATTAGGAGAAGGAAGGAGGGGTCTGGCTATTTGGGTGTCCTCAAATGTGTAACCTCAGTATTTGTCTCATTTGAGATCCCTGCAGTGAAGTTGAACGAGCTGCTCGAGAATTTTTACGTCACCGTTAAGAAGAGTGACGGCTCGGACTTCCTGGCCACCTCGCTGCATGCCATTCGCCGAGGCCTGGACCGCATCCTGAAGAATGCAGGTGTGGGCTTTTCCATCACCAGCAGCACCTTCAGCTCTTCCACCAAGAAACTCAAGGAGAAGCTCTGGGTCCTGAGTAAGGCAGGGATGTCAGGTGCCCGTTCTCGCAACATCATCTACTTCTCCCTTTCCGACGAGGAGGAGATGTGGCAGGCAGGGTGTCTAGGGGATGACAGCCCCATCACTCTCCTGTCCACTGTGGTCAAGTACAACAGCCAATACCTGAACATGCGGACACTGCAGGAGCATGCAGACCTGATGTATGGTGACATTGAGCTGCTCAAAGACCCCCAAAACCAGCCCTACTTTGCCCGGACAGACAGTGTCAAGCGGGAGAGCCGGAGTGCTTCCACCAGAATATGTCATGGGAAAATCTACCATGAGCATTCCAGGGGACACAAACAGTGCCCTTACTGCCTCCTCTACAAGTACATGTACATCCACCGGCCACCCACCCAAATGGAGGCCAAGTCCCCTTTCTACCTTACTGCCAGGAAGGAGGCTATAGACATGGGCAGCGTGTGGTATGAGGAGCAGAGGATGGGACTTCGGTCTCTTCGGGGCATCGTTCCAAACTTAGCCAAGAAGGTGAAGCTGGAAAACTGTGAGAACTTCACCTTCGTCTCATTTACTCAGGTCTCCAGGAGGCTCGGCTCCCACAGCTGCTGCCAGTGAGCCACCCCTGGGTCCAGGCCACTGCTCCGCAGCAGCCGGGGGCGACCGTGACCTCGTGGCCAGGCTGGTCTCTGTCAGTGTGACCTGCTACTTCTTTGTCTTTGGGGTTTTTTTTTTAACTGAAAGTAGATGATTCTGAATAATTAGGAAGTTTTATCCAAATGTGTGTCACCTTTGTTTAAATTATAGGATCTAATACAATGTGTAATTGCTACGTACACAGGAACAAGGGAGTTTATTTTGTCTAGTGCCTTTTTAGCACAGATTTTCTCAAAAAAAAAAAAAAAGAAGAAAACTGTTGAATTAGTGATTTTTCAAAAATCCCAGTAGCCTAGTAGCTTTAGAATGTTTTGAAGACTATACACACTTTGCTGAACTACACTCACAATAAGAACCGGAAAGAGAGGGAGACATGTTCACTATTTCCAGAAGAAAAATTTGCACTTGACACTCCTCTGTATATTGTGTTGGTGGGTAACTTGGTCCTGCAGAGCAAGCACCTTGCTTGGTGGAAGGTGGTGGAGACTTACTCAGCCACACTCTCAGCACTGGGAAAACGTAGCCCTGCATCGGCCGAGACGATTTCGTGGAAAAAGATGACTACGCCAGAAGCCGTTTGCAAGAGCAAGGCGTCCAGTACACGAGAAGGTTTGTGCCGTGAGGGAATTGCCAGTAGTGGAAGGAAGTGGCTTGGAAAAGCGATCTGTGATCAAAACAAAACCTCCTGACGCAGAAGTGCCTACGTTCTATTTCTCAGCACCACGTGGAAGCTCTTCTCATTTGAACAGTTTTTAGAGTTTGTTTGTTTTTTTCAATCTGTTCTTTGTGTCATACAGTTGTTCTGTCAGCATATAGCACTGGATCTGTAAGAGAACTAAAGGTCATTTTGAGGCTGAACCAGGAAAACAAGCTGCAAAGGAAACAAATCAGAAAATGTGTTTATTAAAGTGCTTCGAGTTATTTTAGTCAAAGTATGACTTTTTCAGCCACAGTAGATGTCATCATTTTAGGTTGGCACCAGTGTTTGGGACACGATGCTGTAGGCAGCCGACCAGGTAAGCAAACCCAGCATTAAGGACGTTGTCGTACAAATTCGAGCATGACGATGGGTTATTCGTGCAGTCTGAAACCGTTTCACTCAGGTAAAATCCAACCTGACCGCTTGTGATGGAAACATCAGCAGAATTTCCTAATGACTACTCTGAATGAGAAGTGGAAAAGGAGCCCAAAGAGTGCTAGTTTATAATGATAATTTCTAGGGATCTTTATTTTGTATTTAAGGAAAGACTGCTCTACTACCTGATGCTGTTGTGTTCCTTCTGTATGCTTTCTAATTCAAAATTAAAATCCTACTACAGGTTGGAATTGCAGGAGTCCTAAAATCAGCCCTATTGCTTTTTCAAAATCTTATTTTAGTATTTATTTTAATCGGTTGTTTTTAAAAGTCATTCACTGGTCTCTGAAATATGTAACACTTCCTTTACCAGAGAAGACTCAACCAATGCTGCCTTAAGTGTTAATGTTGTTCCATTTCTAGTTCCTGCACATTTATAAGGTTGTTTGCTAGTCGATCTTTCCTGAATAGAGATTAATTTTGGTATGTCTCCATCTGTATGTGAGTAACAGGTAATATTTAAAACTCAATGTGATGACTTGGTAGTGCATACTGTTCTATTATGGTTTCTCATAGTGATTTTAGGGTTTTGATTAAAAAGAGACACAAAACATGAGGTACAGTTGTCTTTAGTTTGCTAAACACCCAAAGGATATTTTGTTTGTGGAAAGCAGATGGTCATTTTTTCTTGTCAGTTCTGTACTTAAACAGAAATAGAACCTATGTGAATTATTGGGCAGAGTCTGCAGCCTAATTAAAGAAAATCTCCACTTGAATTTTAAATGGGTTCCAGAGGAAATTGCCATTAGGAATCAGTGGGATCTTTTCAGATTTTACATTCCCAGAAGTAGCAATAACTGATCCAGAGGTTGTAATCTTTCTGTTGACAGTAGCTTTTCATCAGCTGAATAACCGTCTCTGCCTCAAATGTATTACTTATTACCTATTTGATGTCGTATAAATCCCCAGAGTTCTGAAGTGAGTGATTATAATAAAAAACCAGGAGGTGGAAGCGCCAGTGATATCTGATGGAATGAAAGAATTGTCTCTCGGCATCCTGAATGCCGTTTATTACATGCCTCCTTGGGGAGTTGGAGTGAGAAAGAAAACACATTTATCAAGTGCTGTTCTGTGCCACCCACTGTACCGGGTAGTTTGTCTATTATGTGATTGTGTGGAGATGTGACTGTTTGTATGCACACACACACTTTAAATTTATATGTGGTAATGCCTAGTAAACCTGCTAGAATGGCAAAGCACCTACCTATCCATCTATATGGCTGCCTGTCCTCAGAGGATCTCAAGGGGCAGGGTAGCTAGTTCTAAGGCAGCTGTTCTGTCTTTCCAGCCCACTCTAAACCGTATCCACTGGGGACTCCATGACCTTCTACTCTTCACTTGAGCCAGGAAAAAGGAGAATCCCAAGAGAAGGAAGTGTGGGAAGTCAAAAGTGTTTTCTCTACTTACCTTTAATTGTTGTTCATCAAAAGTGGGAATGAACATCAGAAATTTGCAAGTTCAACTAGACACAGGTTGCCTCTGGCTCTGCATCAGGAATGGTGGTGCAGTAGGTATTACAGGAGGACCTGTGGGGTCCTTTGGACGAGCTCTCACCCACAGCACCTTCTGTGTCTGCTCTGAAGTGAGCCCGGCTTACTCAGTACCTCATCCCTGAATCCATCAGGTCTCCCCTGGGAAGTTTATTCTGCCAGGGATAATAGGGCATCAGCTTGAAGGGTATGAGTCAATGAAATCTAAAGGGTTTAGCATAACACTAGACACATAGTAAGCATGCAATAAATGTTAGCTATTTTATTTACAACTTGGTAATAGTAATAACTAATAGTATTCAACTGATCTGCATTGCACCACGTATTTCTTCCATTCTGGAGATTCTCTCCTTTGAACTGTTGAACTTGAAGAGGCAACCAAACCTTATAATCTGGTCACGTTTATGCCCATCAATTCTACCTCCAACACAGCCAAGCCCTGATACCTCAGATATGAGCAAAAATAAATGAAGAATGGAGAAATGTTAAGAGGCTTTAGAAGAAAGGTTTTCCATTGTTTAGTGTGTTTACAGAGGGGAATATTATGGAAGAACCTAACCAAAGCTGTGACAGAAATGACCTCCTTGGTTACGTGGCATTTTCCAGCTTTCCTTGGATTATAGAAATGCTGTATTAATCTGCCCCAACTGATAAATGGTGGTTGAGAAAATGTGAGATTCTGTTACCTAGATTTTGATTTCAATTCCATTTTATTAAAAGCATCATGCACTATACCACTCTCTCAGCATGTTCGCAGACAGTCATAGGGAGAATCTGGACGAAACAATCCGCATGGAGAAGCTGGAGCCTCTGGTAGTAAGATCAGTAGCCTGGGAGCTCCTTCACTACTCCCCTGGCAAAGTCTGCTCTCCCTCCAGAGTGGATAATGTTACACTTCTTCAGTTCTTCAAAACCATACAAGCAGGAAGGGACAAAACTAGGAAGCAAAATTCCTAATTCCTCAAGCTCATAGAGTGAATCTTCTTAAAGTAATGCTTCTCACTAGACTGGAACACTTTCTTTGGGTATAACAGTTTTCTTGAGTTTTCAGTTCCACAACTTCTAAAAAGGTTTTGCTATCTGGAAGGCAGCAGAGTGTTGCTTATTTTTCTGTTGAGGCTAACACTGATCGCATGTTACTACTTAAATAAGTAAACAGAATGTTTATTACACTTACCCAATAGGCCTCACTTTGTTGCCTTTATTGACATCTGGATTGCTAACCAGTTTTGAGCTAGTAGCCAGTGAACTTTAGGCATCAATAAATGCAAAAATGAAGACCTCCAAGAGAGTTAGTTACCTCATTTTCTCCACACGAGCTGCCATTTAGTCTAAGTTAAGGCCAGTATGTACTTAGAAGCTGTTAACATACAGCTCTAAACAGAAGAATGCATGAAAAGTTTCAAATTCATATGTATCTTTAAGTGCTTTTGCTTTCAGGGTGAATTGTTAATGCTCTGTATTGAAAGAGAAACATTCGGTTGTTTAGGCAGTGGTCTTAGGTGAAATCTTTGTCACCACCTGAGCAAAGACATGAGTGGAGGAAGAGAGGGGTGGCGACCTAAGGCCACGCTGCCTTTCTGAGAGGAGAGGGGATCGTGGGATGATAAACTAACTTACCTCTGGAGATCATGTATTCAGTGTGCACGTATTCTGACACCACAGAGTTCCCAAAACTCCTTTGAGGGAGGCTGCCCACCCCTCTGGCAAAGTTTGCCTGTTATGATTATTATGATGATGTTGACAACTTCTAGTTCTTACCAGCCAAGAAGTCCAGAGAAGCTCCTCATGGTTAGCTGTTGATCAGAATCAGATTTTTATGCTCCACTAAAGTGCTTTATTATTTCTCAAATGCAACTCATATGGAAGTTAATAATTTCAGGAAATATTTATTAGAACCAAGATGGGATCACTGGAGTACATGCTGGCACATAGTGCTTCTGTTACTGTTAATAGCAACTAGGTAGCTCCTCCCCCACACCTACGAGATGAGAGTGGGCTCCTAACTATTCTATGGTCAATAGAACTGATTTGATTCCTTAGTATTTAACTGTAGATATTGTTACTATTTGTTCAAATAAATTTCTAGAAGGTTCAGATTTGCCCAACACTATGGTAAATGCTCTCTTAGAGCTGCCTCATATTCTCATTTAATTTTCACATCAGCTATGCAAGGTAGGTCTAATTATTCCCATTTTACTTATTGAGAAACCAAGGCTCAGAGAAGTTCAGTAAATTTCCCAATGTCTCATCGAGTTAATACGCTGGAGAACTTAAGTTTGAACCCAGATTTTCTGACTCCAATGCCAGTGCTCAATCCATTAGACCAACCTTCCTTCTTCAGGCCCACAGAGTTCATTTATCACAGAGCTTTTAAAAAACTAAACATAGTTTGTATTTGAGAAGTATTTCGTTTCTTAAGGCATACCATGTCATAATTTATATGCACTCTCTTACTAATCAGTTGGTCACGTGGTAAGCATTGTGAATGAGTATAACGTTTTCTGCCTACTGAGAACCTTGCCTATATCCAGTAAATAACTTGTTTTACCCATTAGCTACCTTAAAGGGCAGATGGTCATGCCAATTTACTCTAATAAAAGTCAAGTAATTTATAAATTGCACCTGATCTGACATAGGTATCACTGCTTAAAATGTAAAAGACTCCCTAACCTCT